AGTAAACTTTGACTAAATAATTTAGGCACTGACAGGTGATTACTGCAAATAGCACCATGGCAATTGAATTAAAATGTGATACTATACTTTCTTGTCCTTAAAAATCCATTGTTCATTTTTCTTCAACCTCTTATTTCACTCCCCCTGTCTTAGTTACCTATTGCTACATAACAGATTATCCCCAAACTTAATGCCTTAAAACAACAGTGTTTATAGTTTCCGTGTCAGGAATCCAGGCGTGCCTCAACTGCGTCTTTCCCGGCTCACTCACGTGGCTGGTGGCAGGATTCAGTTCCTTGCAGACTGTTGGCTAGAGGCCTCCCTTAGTTCCTCGCCACGCAGGCCTCTCTACGGAGTGTCTCGTAACACAGAGCGAGCAGTGCAGAGCGAGCAATGAGGGACGCAAGGGAGAGTGCCAGCGAAGGAAGAGTGCCAGCAGGATGGAGGAGGCCATCTGCCACAACCTAACCGTGGAAGGGACATCTTACCACTTTGGCTGTAATCTGTTTATCAGAAACAAGTCGTTAGGTCCACTCCACACTCCGGAGGAGGAGATTACACAAGGACAAAAATCACTGGAGCCAGGTCAGAAGTTGCCACCCCCACAGTCCCAGTTGGGTAATTTTCATGGATCACATGCTCTACTCAGGTTCCCGCCTCTTCTTATATTTCTGGAAAACCCCACCCTTTGGACATCTTTTTGTTTTTGCCTCTACAGCTCTCTAGTTTCCTCCTTCCAAAGCTTTATTCATTTCTTAAATACCAATTTAGCTCTCCCTCTGTCTTACTTTAATACTAGAGGCTAATACCTATTAAGTGCTTACTATGTGCCAGGAACTATCCTAAGTACTTTACATCTTTTAACGCATTTAATTCTGATGAACACTATGAGCTATGTATTCATGCCAATCCCATTTTACAAATTAGTAAGCCAAAGGGATAGGGAGGAGAGAAACTTGTCCACAATAACATAAAATAACATCTCTCCTTCCACAGTCATTCTCTGAGAACCTGTGAAGGTGTTTTGCTAAATAAAGACTGTTTTTCTCTCTAAAGGGAATTCTGGCACCAGCTTCATAGGCCTTTTTAAATATCATCAGAAAGAGAGGCTAGTCTCTCTCCCAAATGATTTTCCTCCTCATGTCACGTGGGGATGACACGTGTGGACTTTGAAAAAGAGTTGATGTTTACCCACATCTCTTTAAGATATTAACGCATCAAGTATTAAAATTCATAAATGTTTGGCTCAGTCCTAACTTCTGGCTAGAGCTTAGGATATGGAGAGCCCCCGAGAACACAGTAATATGTCATGTGTTCTGAATACTCTGGGCCTTGGGGATGGGTCTGATGTCCTCTATCCTCCTCCCGCCTTCCATGCCCTCTCACAGCTGTTGAAAGGCTGGTACAGCCAGTGAGAAGGCACCTGGGAGCTGTGTGTGTGGCCTGGCCTGTGCCCTGTGATTGGATGCCTCCTGCATTGCCCTTTGGGCCCAGATGTAGAAAGCTTGCCCAGAAAGCAGCCCTAGTTGAACTTTTCCTGCTATGAATAACCTCTTTTACCCACTGTTGTGACCGCTATGCACTTACGTGCGGCAATCCATGAGAGAGAGGACAGTTTTTTCTTAACTCTTGAATTTCCTCAATCCTAGTCTTCTGTTCTGAGAGGCCATATACTCATATATGTTCTTCATTTATTTTGTATGTCAAACATTTATCGTCTGTAATGTGGCAAGTTCTGTTCTTTTAAAAAGTCTCCTATTTTTATATGATAAAATTAACGTTTGGTATTTTGTGTATGCTAGCATCTGGAATTTTTACAAAACTCTGGATATTTTCTAAAGATACCAACTTTTTGTAGAAATTAGATGACCACTTAACCGATCTGCCCGTCTTGGCAATCCCTGCAGCTTTAACTCCCCAGGATAGGAGCCACTTTTTCTTTTGTGGATTCAACTTCAAAATTTTATTTTACTAGCATCAGATCAGAAAATTAATTCCCAGGCCTAGAAAACTCTCAGCAATGGAGTTAAATGAAAATTATATATCTATAGGTTATGTAAATATGTTATATGTATAGCCAATACTAATATAATTCGCTAGCTCTGCCTTGGGCACATAATGGAAGTAAGGGAAAATACATATTGATGATTTTCATGACTTTTGAATTTTAAATAAATGGGGAGCAAGGTTTATCATGTTTTCCTTACAATTTTTTTCATATACTTTTAAAATTAAAACTTAAATTGAGAGTGTTAAGAACACTCTCGAACAAAAGAATTGCTGTTCTGAATTACTGAAAAAAAAAATCAACTGTCTCTTTAATAACCTGAGGTGTTATACTTTCATGCAATAACAATTAGGTATATAACTTAATAACTCTCACAAGCATTTTAAAGAAAAATAACATGTATAATGTAGAATTTGGAGAGAGAATAATTAAGTTCTCAACTCTGCTGCTCACTAGCCGTATGATCTTGGATTATTAGCTTCTGTTGTCACTAGCTTCCATTGGAAGAGATAGTACTTTAATAGCTAGCACACTCGTCTTACTTTCTTCATTAAAAAAAAATCACATGGTGTCGAGGACGAAGTTAAGATGTTTGTGGTAGTGCTTGTACGATTGTTAATTAAATTTAAGGTGCCATTGGGATGCCCTTGTCATTCAGGAACATTTGGAAACCTTCAACCTTGGGTCCATTCCTTGTAGAGCAATGCTTCAGCCATATGAATTTCAGACAAAGTCCTGTAATTCCTCTTTGGGGGCTTGAGAGCTGGGAAACATGTAGACTCGCTGGAAAATGTGCTCCTCTCCAAGGATCCCCAGGGTAGTGGCTCATTCATGTGACTTTGTGAAGTTTCTAGCCTTAACTTTCTACCTTAATTTTTTTTTCCTTACAAACATTGCAACCATTACAAGAGAAAAGGAGGACTTAGAAAAGTAAAGGACAGTGTTATCTATTTACTCGCTAGACCTCTGAATTAGGAAGAAATAAAGGAGACTTAGAAGAGCCTTGCCTTTGTGAGTTCATGGACTTATAAAAATCCTTTGAATGAGGGCACTGTTGTTGTTGTTGTTGTTGCTGCTGCTGGTGGGGGTGTCTATAACTTCATAGAACCCCAGTATTCCCCTAGAGTTTAAGATGCTCCTGTAAACAAACAAATCATCTTAAGAGAAGCCAGTAGTCTTGTGCAAGTAGTCTTGACTAAGAATCAATTGATATATTGCCCAGACCTTGTAACTTTGGATGTTCTAGAAAGTATTCTCTAAAACAAGATAGTATTAACATAATATTACTGACATCCTCAGTTGTTATGGGTATAACCTTAGGAAAGTAGAAAACCAAATATACAGATGTTAAAGTCTTGAATTAAACCAATGATAATACTATTTGAGAACAGGTTAATGTGTAGATGTAGTAAGAGGTTTTGTAGTGATGATTTATATGGTATTTCAGCTACTGTTAAGGTGTCCAACATGTTCAAAAGAAGCAGTCATACTAGATTGGGAACTATATTCTGAATTAGTTAAGAAAATGTAATTTAGTTTTGAATCCATCTTTAAAGATTAAATAAAAATCAGTTTTAATGGTTTTATTTATTGGACATGCAGGCTTAAGATTTGAACATTAAGTGAGAAAAAAGAAAAAGAAACAATAATTGCTGCTTCAGAACTACATTTATTTAAAATTAATTATTGTAAAATGTTTAGCTCCATCATGAGTTAAAAATTCTATTAATGTTTGATTCATGTACTTGTGTAAATTTAACTGAGAATAGCCTCCCGATCATACTTATGTGCTAAAAAGATCACTGATTATAGTCATCACCAGATATTTAAAGTCATTGGTATGTATCTTGTTTGTATGAAATCTCTAAACCTTTCATTTTTTCCCAAGACTTTCTTATTATATATAAATGACAATTTATTTTGAATGAAACAGCCATATTTTAATTTCATATTTTAATCCCCCTCTTGTGGTTGGCCAATGGAGTCATCTACTCTATTGAATTGATATTTTGCATTGGACAAAATGAGGATTTCGATTCTGTACTCTAGATCTAGCTGTCTGGTTCAACATGACCTGCTCACTCTTAAGAATTGTATGACTCAGCCACATTCCTTAGGCTCTTTATGCATCAGTTGTCCTCTTATTAAAAATGGAGGAATTCTTGTGAGGAGAAAATGAGATACTGAACATGAAGGCCTGAGTCGAGTTCCTGGCACTTTGTAAGCACTTAATGAATGGTTGCTTTTATTATTATCGCCCGAAGAGAAAGAGTTCATTTGCCCCGGGTTTACAAACAAGAGCATTAAAAAACTCACAGTGGACACACAGCATTCCAAGGAAAAGAACGAGCTTCAGTTTCCCAAACCAATACAGCAATTTCGGGTGCAAGTAACGTGAGCTCTATTCTGTTGTCAAGTATGGGACATAGCACTGGAAAGACAAAAAGCCCAGTATATTTTCTTAATTTATGGGTAATTTTCTACACCTGAGTCATATCATTATATCATTTGAATGAATCGTACTGCTTCTCTTTCTTCTTGACCACGACTTTGTGAAGAACAAAGAGTACTAGCAAATGTTGGGTTTCCGAAAATGGGTTTCACTATTTTTCATCGATTTGCTCCTGTATTCATCCTTGCATCAAACATTTTCAGCACCTATTGTGGGTATGGCTCATGACGTGACTGCACTTGAGTCATGGCAGGGGAGGAAGAGAGGCTGTGACAGCCATGGTATAAGGACTTCCAGAGATCTCATAATGGTTCTGGCAGAGATGCTCCTACTGAAATCTCTAGAGTGTCCCTAGAAACGGCCAAAGACTCAGACGCTCCCATGGAACTGTGTGACATGACAACAGAACTAAGCACTAGATCCAGCACATGTATTGTTTCCACTACTTCACTGATGTTCAGATGGTCCGTGAAACATGGGCCTTGTAGACGTAAGTATGAAATTCAGAACCATTATTTTCCCTGTTGTCTTTCTTCGTAGGTGTTTGATGGTTTAAACTCTTTAACTACCCACCTGGCCACTATGTGCGGAAGGCAGCAGCTGACTAACCCCATCACCTCCTCAGGAAACAGCCTCTTTCTGCGATTCCGGTCTGGCCCTTCCAGTCAGAGCAGGGGCTTCCGTGCTCACTTCAGGCAAGGCAGGTACCATGTGGTCTCTCTGAGGCACAGGTCGTCTGTCTGCTCGTAGGTGCCCCTCTTGGTGCTGTAATATAATGAGACCAGCCCTTAGAAATTGATCCCAGCTTTGTACTTAACATGCAACAATTTAGATAGAACTAAGGAACTATGATTTGCAATTATTCCAATTGTTGATCCTTTCAACTTACTGTTGTCTAACTCAGACGGTGCTGACTTCCTTTGGATCTCTGTAGCTCTCAAACAAGCTTTCAAAATAATACTTAAAGTAGCTTTAATACTAGAGATACGATAAAGAGGTGTCTATCCAACTTCATTATCCATAGATAAATTACCTAGCATTTATCCAAGGTTTACGCTAGAAGGAGACACACCACTAGAAATAACAAGGCTTGCTTGTAATGTAGGGTCAGATTCTAACCCTTGAGGTAGTGATTGCCCTCATTTCTGGATCCTGCCATTGTCCACCTGAAGAATTAATGTTGTTTTCCATTATTTTCTTAAACCACCACTTTTCAGTTCTTGTTAGTAGACCTTTTCACCCATTGCCTTTTATCTGATTAACCTTTACCCTACTGTCAGAGATGGAGCCCAGCACTGGAAGGATTGTTAGGTGGCTTCAACATGCTTCTGATTTTTAGTCGGATGACCCTTGTCATTTCAAATTAGTTTAGTCCGTTTAATTATTTGGTCTGTTTTAGGGCCCTTGCTTGTATTCTACAGTAAAGAGCCCTGGCTAAAGATAGCTTCTGGATCAAGGTCTCTCAAAGATGCACTGTATACTTCGGAGCAAGACAGGCTGCATAAGTCACTCTGCGATTTCAAAGAAAAAATAGTTTCTGAACACATTTTTTTTTTCATTTAATTTATCACTTATGCTTTGCTTCAGAGTAAAAAAAAAAAAAGTCCTCATAGATCTTCTCTTGAACTCACGCTTTCTCCATCTCCCTTCAAGGTCAACTCACAAAAGCCCTGCTCTGATCATGCCACTGAGAGCACCAGCACCTGTCCTGGCACCGCACTGCCTCGGGAATGGATCCCGAGCTCCTCTAGATGTCACGCGAGGGCCCAGGAACCTGCACTGATCTTGCTTCCAGCATCACCTCTAATAACCCCAAGTGTTCCATGCTTCAGCCAAGTCTGTGTAGATGCAGTTCTTAACCTCCTCTGTGTTTTTGCTTAGGCTGCCTCCCCCATGCACTACCCTTCTGCACCCCCAAGTCCTCCTGCGGCCACTGTCTCCTCCGGGAGACGCTTCTCACCCTCTCACTGGCAACAAACTCTTCCTCTCCTGCACTCCCATAGAGCTTTGCACGTCTCCGATCATCCATAGCTTTGCTTGTGCAATCTTGTTCAATTGCATATTGATTTTCCTAGAAAAAGAAGTCTATAAAGAGATTATTTCTATACTTATAATTTATGAGTAGGCAGAGTGAGTGAATCATTGCCATAGTTTTGTTTGAGTGATTCAAGCAATTCGTAGCCATTTAACCGGTTGTTCTGCATCACTCCCCACTTCCTATAATTAAAAAATATTGTTATAAATGTACAGCGTGTTCCCATTTTCTTATGGTTTGTGTGCAGCTTCCTTAGCGGAGTACTTCCTTGGTATGAATTTCAAAAACAAGGAAAAAATCAACTATGTTTTCATTCATCAAATAATTGTCTTGCACAATCAGTAGAAATCAAAAATATATGACATGTGCGTGTGTTTGTGTGTCCTCAGCCTGTGGAGGCTACATCCTCACCAACTCGTTTGATACAATATCCTCTCCATTGTTTCCTGCCAAGTATCCAGACAATCAGAACTGCAGCTGGATTATTCAAGCTCAACGTCCTTGTAAGTAACAAAAAAATGAAAAAGAATCCAGGGTGGATGGTGTCTGTGGGAAAGCCCGCCTGTGACTAATGGCCTTATCTCCTTGCTCCTAACAATTGACAGCCTTCCTCTTTCTTTTTCGAAAGTCCCAACTCCTGATATGCACGAAAACAAGCATTTCCTAATCTGATAGGAAAGTAATTTTTACTTTTTATTCTTAATTGAAAATTTGTTTTAAGTGTCAAGGCGTAGCATACGGGGGGAAAAAAAACACACCCTATAACCTTGCTATATTGACAGGCATGTGAAGTTGAGGATAATCAAAAATAGTTTTGACATGTGTGCCTTGAGTGTAGTAGACGTGCAAGACAGTTGCTAAACAAATAAAGAATAAGGACCATAGATTAGAAAATTAATAACTCATAGTTTGAGAATACAGTACTGTGAGCATATTAATCTTTAGTCAAAGTGGAAGCTAATTATAAAACCTGGTCTCTCCTGCAATGCATGTATTGAAAAAAAATAATTTTAACACAGGCCTAGAAGAAACATTTAGTGTTTATGTTTTTTTTTATTTTTATTTTTTGGAATCCTAGAGTCTTGTTTTCTGACCCAGTAATAGTCTTGGTGGTAAAGTTTACTGTCCACATTTTACAGACAAAGAAAATGAGGAGACCCTTAAAGGCTCAAGCAAAGTGACCTCAAAAAGGATGATCCTGGGGCCATCATGAATCTTGTTCAGATGAGCCCTACCCTTCTCTGAATTTTTCAGGAAAAATTTATGATTTCAGACATAATGTGGGAAAGGCATTAAGTTCTTGACTCCACTCTATAATTAATGACCTGTGTGATAATAGTCAAGTCACTTAAGCTAATGAAGCCCCATTAACTAATCTAAAAAATGAAGAGTTTGGCTTAAATATTCTCTAACACTCTTCTTAGCAATGTTAAGAGTTAACAAAAAGGTATCTTTACTGACAGGCCTACAGTTTGGAGGTTGGCGATATAATCCTTAGCCGATGGCAGCTGGGGAGCATGGAACCCTAAAGAAAGCAGTCAGCCTGCCAGAAACCAAGCCTTAGATAAAGAGGCCTCCTGCTTCGAGCTGAGCAGTTCTGCACCCAAGGATAATTTCTAATGAGTTGTAAAGCTTTTAGATGAAAGATCTCACTGGTTCAAAGACAGCAACAGGAAGAACAACAAATGGAAAATGTACCCAAGCACTTGCTGTTCTGCAAGTAATTCAAAGCTTTCTTTATAAATGACCTTGAACCTTCAGGGCCCTGGCTCTGGCCTTAGAGTAAAACCGACAGCGCTAGGATGTGTGTGCCAGGGAGAAAGAGCGTGTCTCATTCACGAGCACCAATAAGAATCAGGATTTAAGGAAACTATTCTATTGGGAGGAATACTTAGAAGAACACAGCAATGGCTGATATAAAAATGTGTGAGAACTCTATATTCCAACAAGCTGTTCCCTCTACGCCACGTAGTAAACCTCTGCAGGAGTCCACTTCTTTACTGGCATTCAGATTCTACCTGCATTTTCAAAACCTTCAATGTTGTTACTCTTCAAAGGTAACCTTTTAGCAGATCGGTTGTCTCTTT